GGGCTGCGGCGAGGGGGAGTTCCGATGAGAAAACACCTGCAGAAGAGAGACCTGGAGAGGGATTTTTTTTTTCGTCTTGCTTATAAGCGTCCTTTCGAGCGTTCTTTTCGGTTTTTAGAAGGTGGCGCGTTCCCAGTTACGCTATTTTTATTGATATTTCTATCTTCTCTGAATGATTTAACGTCCCTTCAAATGTGTTGGTCTTAGCAGATACGGCTTACAGCTTTCTAGTGAAATTGTTATTAATCTATCGTGATTGACTTCTTATTTAAGTCGACTTGTAAAACTGTGTAGGGGAACATGAGCTGTGATTTCTAGAGGCAAACTCGCCTTGAGTGCCGTTTTGTCAAACTTCTCGACACGACACGTGAGCTGTAATACACCCTGGAAGTAGCTGAAGCTTGAAGGCGTAGTGAAACGTACGACATGTAACAGAAATACTGGTGTGCTTCTGAAGTAGATGACTAGAAAAGATGTTCAGCAAAAACCCCACGCGATCTGTCAGACTTAAGGGATTTTGAAGCATTTTCATTTGTTTTTTCAGAAAAAGAGCAACAGGAAGCAATTGAACACATTGATGAAGTACAGAATGAAATAGACAGGTAAACAAACTTTTGAAATGTTTTAGCAGAAATTAAAATGTAACTTTAATAAATAAAAATACTTAGTATAGTAAGCACTCAGTAGTAGTTCTCACTCTCTTTAAACTCTGCCGAGATGCACTTGTTTTCTGACTTGATTAGATGTGAGAAGTATTTGTGTATGATTAAAAAATTTGAAGTAGTATCCTGGTTCCTTGTTTGATTGTGTACAATTAAAAAGATAGAACTTAAAATTTAAAATTAATTGTGATAGTTTTGATAATAGAAATTTATTTTGTATTGTTTTTTCAAATTAATGTGTATGCTATTTTGCAAAAGTATTTTTGTGTTTGTAAGTAGAACAAAAAACTTGGTTGAGAATTTAGCTTTTATTGTACTTTTTTTAATTATATATTTGTGTGCTTGTAGAATAAAATGTAGAAAGTGTCACTGAAACAGTAATTTCATATGCTAAAACATTCTGTGGGCTGTGTTGGTATTTGCATGGATCTTATCTCCTTGCACGCTGTCCTAGAGAGGCTGCAGGTGACTACTGAGGCTCTGCCCGTGTGAAGCTGTTGCAGTATCAGGCCTCTGCCTTTTTACAAAACCAATTAAATGGGACATCTTAAGATTTTACGTGCATGGGATACAAAATTGCTTTGCTGTAGCTTGCTTGCCTGCCCAAAGGTTATAAAGAGCAGGTGATAGTCTTACGTGTTATCGATCTTCAGGTCTTTTGCGAACAAAATGTATAAGAGGTAAAATACCGCTTTGCATAAATAAGGGTCTGTCCCTCATGTAGTGATGCAAAACATACAACGTGCTAAGAACGTTTCATTGAGATTGTTTCTCATAAGGTGTTTCTTAATAGCGGTTACAGGTTTGGGCCTCGGTTTGTTGTTTGAGACGTCCCATTTGTTGACTGTGACAGACTAGTCTAATCAAACCCATTCGGTTTTTGGTTAACTACTGATGATGCATCTTTAAATGTCAGTTCTCTCTCTTGTGGTTAACGTGGCTATTTCTATTACAGACTGAATGAACAAGCCAGCGAGGAAATTTTGAAAGTAGAACAGAAATACAACAAACTCCGCCAACCATTCTTCCAGAAGAGGTCAGAATTGATCGCCAAAATCCCGAATTTCTGGGTAACAACATTTGTCAACCACCCACAAGGTATGTTCTTAATAGCGCTCTCTTTTTTTTTTCCTGTAAATCCAGTGTTTACTTGCTTGTTATGTGAGTATCTTGCAGCTTTGAGGGTTTTCTAGAATTGTTGTTGGGCATATGTTTACACAGAAGCCTGCTCCATGTGCAAACACTTCCGTTTTGTCCCAGAGTGCATTTTAGAAGCTTTTTATTTCTTGCACTCATTGACCAAAGCAACATCTTGTTCAGTAAAATCCCATGTTGGTTTTATTTATGCATTTTAAATGACAGATTTCCCACTTTTCGTAGTTAATTGGGCCCTTTAAAGCAGAAGGAAAAAAAAACTCTAGTTTGCTTTTTTTTTTTTTAATTGGAGGTGATCTCCTTAGGACTCTTGACAATAGACTGTTTTTGAGAGGACAAAAGTTTGTAGACTGCTTAGATTGGGCAAACGGCATGTGAAAATGCATTTCAGAGAGAAGGTTGGATGTATGCAGGTAGCTTTTGCTGCTTTTTAATGTTTAACTGCAACAAGCAAACATAACATTTTCACCTCAGCCAAAGTGAATCACACAAATGCTAATAGTCTGTTGGCTGGTAACTCAAAAAAAACAGGCCACAAGAAGTTGGCTTGGATAGATGTGTTGCTTTTCAAGTCTTACTATCAATTTCCTGTATTTTGCCTGCATGATACACTTTTTATAGCTTTGTTAATGTGGGATTCCTAATTCTGTCTTAGTATCTGCACTGCTGGGAGAAGAAGATGAGGAAGCACTGCATTATTTGACCAGAGTTGAGGTGACAGAATTTGAAGACATCAAATCAGGTTACAGAATAGATTTTGTAAGTACTCTAAATAATTACTTCACTTGTGATTTGTATGTGTGGGGGTTTTTTTAATGTAATCACATATTGGCTGGTAGTTTGTCAGTTAATCTTTTCATTTATCCATTTAATACCAGCTTTGACTTGGCATGTGTCTTTACATTATGTGGGGTCTAACTCTTTGCTTTCAACTCTGCAGTATTTTGATGAGAATCCATACTTTGAAAATAAAGTTCTCTCCAAAGAGTTTCACCTCAATGAAAGTGGAGACCCATCTTCAAAATCAACTGAGATCAAATGGAAATCTGGGAAGGTATGTACCTGTGCATCTGGGAGAGATGACTGCTGCTCTGTCTGATACCATCACTTCAATTATGTGCCTTTGACTTTTTTTCTTTTGTATTGAAGCTGCTTTGTCCTCCGTTTTATTCCCCTCTGAACCACCTTGCCACTTCTTTACATACATAGTTCATGTCTATCTTGCAGGGTTCGGAATACCCTATTTATATTGAGATCTGTAGTGAATTCTCTTGCTCAGTTGAGCACCACCGTACAGTAATGCGGGCATGTCTTTCATCCAGACAGTGTTCAATTGTAATTAATTTGCTGCAGTTAGTTTCTGTAAAAGTCAGGAGTGTTTTCATGTTATCTGGAAGATATTAAAATAAGTATTTAAAAGTAGAACTGAACATTGCAGTTAAGTCACTGCTTGTGTAATCACCCTCAGATTGAGAAGAAAACTTACATTTTTCATTGAGAACTAGAACTTTTCCTCTTGTACAAGAAGTTACAGTCCAGTACAAACTAGCTGAATGATCTTTACAACACACCACAAAATCCATGTGAATTCTGGTATTGTTCTTCATTAAACAGTCTAAACCTATAAATGTTGTGATTCTATCAAGAAAACATACTATACATTTGGAATTACCATATAATCAAAGAAAGAGAGTATTTAAATAGTGGATAGTTTCATATTTAGCAAACAGATTGTTGCAAACTTACTAAACTTCTAGGGTAAGGTGGTAGATACAGGACTCATGTATGTGCTTGTGATCGTATGTTTTAGCAGTTGGTGTAGGTGTTTTGACTTACTACAAAGAATGACCTGAAGACTTCAAAGAGGGAAATCTTAGGATAACTAGGCAGTTCTTTATCTCAAGTTAAAGACAGACCTTAGAGGCGTGGAGACTGAGTGCTGCTTAAATTCTGTTCAGTACATCATTAAACACCTTCCATACTTGCACTTCCATGCGAGAGGGAAGCATAAATGCAAGACCCTGTGAATTTTCAGTATTTCAGTGGAGTCATTAAAAGAAATGTACGTTTTTACTGTTTTCTCATGTTCATGAGAAGTGCAGGTGGCTGAGAGGTGTCTTTTTCTGTGAGTTGTTTGTGTTCCCAGTGTTTCTTAAAGACTTGTACCTGAAAGAGGGAGTAGTGAGTGACTTATTGTGGTTGTTTAGACAGTATGTTTCTAAATGGTGCTTATTTAAAACAAAACAAAAAAACAAACAAACAAACAAAACCAACCAAACAAAAAAAACCCCACAAACCAAAAAAAAAAATGACAAAAAGCCATGTAAGTACCACTTTTTAGGGAACTTCTTAACTTTCTTTTCAGGATCTGACAAAACGCTCAAGCCAGACACAGAACAAAGCCAGTAGGAAGAGGCAGCATGAAGAGCCAGAAAGCTTCTTTACCTGGTTCACTGACCACTCCGATGCAGGGGCTGATGAACTAGGAGAAGTCATCAAGGATGACATCTGGCCGAATCCGTTACAGTACTACTTGGTAAGTATAGCATGGAGCTGTTGATCCACACCCATAATAGTACTGTCCAAGTGAATTGATCACTGTAGTTGATGTTGCATATGTGTCTTTAAGGTTCCTGATATGGATGATGAAGAAGGGGAGGGAGAGGAGGATGACGATGATGATGAAGAGGAAGAAGGATTGGAGGATATTGATGAAGAAGGAGATGAGGATGAGGGGGAGGAAGATGAAGATGATGATGAGGGAGAAGAAGGAGAGGTGAGTAATCTTACCCCTTCCATCTCTGGTGTATGAGAATGAAAAGAAATTTATATGAGGGATCTTGTAAGAATACTGAGCCATTGTAACAAAGGTAAAGTAGTTCTTTTCTGTACAATGACAAGGTGTTTGGAGGGGAGAAGCAGAACTGTTACTACCTTAACTTGTGGAGTCATTTCAGTACAGTAGTAAGTATGTTTGTGTATATGAGAGACAGTGCAAATAAGTAGTTTTAGTAAGCTCGTAAGGGAGGTGCTCTAGAAGAACTAGGATATTGGTGTAATAAAATTCTTATTTAATTAGTGAACATTCTAGCAAGGCTTTACTTGTAAATAGCTTTGGTGATGCATCGAGTTCTGTGATCTTCCCACCTGTTGGTTTATTTCTGCTTACAGCCAGCTTAGCTAAGACTCTGTTGGGTTCAGGAATTAAAGTTTCCTATAGGAGCAAGTGGGATTCCAGGGACAGCATTCAGGGTGTTGGTAACAAAGTTTAGAATGTCTTTGTTTCTCATAATTGGGCGTGGTGTGTCTAAATTTCAGCAGCAAAAAACGACTTGTATTGAGCTAGGAGGGCTGTTATGGGCACCAGAGTACTGGGCTCTATTATGTAACCTAGAATTTAGCATCTTAAAGTTGGAGCATTTTGCTCTTCAGAGTTTAAAACAAGGGGAAAAAAAGATGACCCCTTCACTTTCTAAGCTAAAGTTATGTCAATGTTTGTAGTGATTTTAAGTCACGGTAGTTTTTCAAACCCGATGTTTTTTCGTTGTGACATCCAGTTATTCACTGATTTCTGTGTGGATGGGTATCACGGCAGCTGTTACTGCTCCGTAGTGAAGAGGGAAAGA